ACCATATACAAAAGACCAACCACTAATATCATCCTCAGTGGGGGAAAAACTGAGAGCTTTCCCTCTAAGATCAGGAATAAGACAGGGATATCCACTCTCGCCACTGTTATTCAACCTTGTATTGGAAGCCTTAACCTCAGAATCAGACAACACAAAGAAATAAAGGGCTCCAAATCAGCCACGAGGAAATCAAACTTTCATTCTTTGCAAGTGACATTTCTTTACTCTATATAGAAAGCCCAAACAATTCCATGAAAAAAAACTGCTAGAAATGATCCATGCGTTCAGCAAAGTGGCAGGATATAAAATCAGTGCACAGAAATCAGTTGCATTCTTATACACCAATATTGAAGCAACAGAAAGAGAAATCACGGAATTGATCCCATTTACAATTGCACCAAAAACCATAAATACCTAGGAATAAATCTAACCCAAGAAGTGAAAAATCTATACACTGAAAGCTATAGAAATCTTATGAAAGAAATTGAAGACACACAAAAATGTAAAACTATTACATGCTCCTGGATTGGAAGAACATATATTAATAAAATGTCAATACTACCCAAAGCAATGTACATATTCAATATAATCCCTATCAAAATAACATAAACATTCTTCACAGAGATAGAACAAACAATCTTAAAATTTGAATGGAACCAGAAAAGACCCCAAATAGTGAAAGCGATCTTGAAAAAGAAAACCAAAGCAGGGGCTATCACAATCCTAGACTTCAACCTCTATTACAAAGTTGTAATCAACAAGACAGTATGGTACTGGCACAAAAATAGACATTCAGATCAATGGTACAGATTAGACAACCCAGAAATGGACCCACAAATGTATGGCCAACTAATCTTTGATAAAGCAGGAAAGAATACCCAAAGGAATAAAGAGTCTCTTCACCAAGTGGTGCTGGGAAAAGTGGACAGTGACATGCAGAAAAATGAACCTGGACCACTTTCTTATACCATACACAAAAATAAACTCAAAATGGATGAAAGACCTAAAAGTAAGACAGGAAACCATCAAAATCCTCGAGGAGAAAGCAGACAACCTCTTTGACCTCAGCCACAGCAACTTCATACTCAACACATCTCTAGAGGCAAAGAAAATAAAAGCAAAAATGAACTATTGGGACCTCATCAACAAAAAGCTTCTGCACAGTGAAGGAAACAGTCAGCAAAACTAATAGGCAACTGACAGTATGGGAGAAGATATTTGCAAACGACATATCAGATAAAGGGTTAGTATCCAAAATCTATAAAGAACTTCTCAAACTCAACACCCAAAAAACAAATAATCTAGTGAAGAAATGGGCAAAAGACATGAACAGACACTTGCCAAAAGAAGACATCCAGTTGGCCAACAGACCCATGAAAAAATGCTCAACATCACTCATCATCCAGGAACTACAAATCAAAACCACATTGAGATACCATCTCACACATGTCAGAATGGCTAATGTTAACAACTCAAACAACAACAGATGTCGGCAAGATGTGGAGAAAGAGGATCTCTTCTACACTGCTGGTGGGAATGCAAACTGGTGCAGCCACTCTGGAAAACAGTATGGAGGTTCCTCAAATAAATTAAAAGTAGAACCACCCTACGACCCAGCAATTGCACTACTAGGTATTTATCCAAGAAATACAGGTATGCACCCCAATGTTTATAACAGCACTATCAGCAATAGCTAAAGTATGGAAAGAGCCCAAATTTACAGTAATGGATGAATGAATGTGGTATAAATATACCATGGAGTATTACTTGGCAATCAAAAAGAATGAAAGCTTGCCATTTGCAACTATGTGGATGGAATTAGAGGGTATTATGCAAAGGAAAATTAGTCAGAGAAAGACAAGCATCATATGACTTCACTCATATGAGGACTTTAAGACACAAAACACATGAACATAAGGGAAGGGAAGCAAACAAGATGTAAAAACAGGGAGGCGGATAAAACATGAGACTCTTAAATACAGAGAACAAACAGATGGTGCTGGAGGGGTTGTAGGAGGGGAATGGGCTAAATAAGTAAGGGGCTTAAGGAATATACTCCTGAATTCATTGTTGCATCATGTGCTAACTAACTTGGATGTAAATTATAATAAATATATAAATTATAGAAAGTAAAATAAATAAATAAATAAATATTTAAGTGGGTAAAAGACCTGAATACCTCACTAACGATGGCAAAAAAAAGTATGAAAAAAAGCTCAACATCAGATATTACAAATTAGAACAATGAGACACCACTAAAAACTTTTAGAATGGCTAAAATTCAAAATTCTGATACCACCAAATGTTGACAAGATAAAGAGCAATAGGAATTCTCATTCTCATGGCTGGTGGGAATTCAAAATGATACAGTCCCTTTGCAAGATGGTTTAACAGTTTCTTACAAAACTAAACATACATTACTATATGATCCAGCAATTGTACTCCTTGGTATTTACCAAATGAGTTTAAAGAAATGTCCAAACACACACAAAAAACTAAATTTGCAGCACCTTTTCTTTAATTCAAAAACATACCAGATGTCCTTCAGTAGATGAATGGATTAAACAAACTATGGTATACCCATTCAATGAACTATTATTCATTAATAAAAAGAAATGAGCTATAAAACCAGAAAAATCATCAAGGAGAAAATTTAAATGCATATTGCTAAGTAAAAGAAAGACTGTATGAGTCCAAATATATAACATTTTTGAGATATCAAAAAGATTAATGATTTCCATGGACTCAAGGGGATTGAAGGAGAAATGCATAGGTACAACATGTGATTCAAGGCAGTGAACTTGCCTGTATGATACTATAATGATGGGTACATGGTATTATACATTTGTCAAAACCTATAGAACTCTATATCACAAAGACTGAGCCCTATGTAAACTGTGGACTTTACTTAATAATATTCTGTTAATATTGTATTGTACTGGTTCATCAATTTTAACAAATGTAGCACACTAATGAAAAATGTTAACAAAACTTTGTGCAGGGAGTAGGCAGCAGAGAATGGGTATATAGGAGCTCTGTACTTTCTGCTCAAGTTTTCCATAAACCTAAAACTGCTATGAAAAAATAAATACATGAATTATGAAATGAAACAATATCAAACTAAATAGTAGTATAAACCTGGAGTGAAATACAAAGGTAATTTTGCCTTGTTGATTAGGCTATGATATCAAATTTAGAGACTGGGAATAGAATAAAGTTTGTCCAGAGAAGATGAAAAGGGTACAAAAGCAGAAAAAGAGAGCATATACAAGTAAAACTGAACAATACTGAGAGAGTAGATCTATACTAAGGGAGCCCAGGGACTGAGGCAGCTGCCATGGAAAAAGACAGTTCATACATACACAGAACACGTATGTATGTTGAAGATGTATGTATGCATGATGAGTGGGGGGTGGAGGTGGAGTGGGCAAAATGGGTGAAGGAGATCAAAAGGTACAAAAGGTATTTTTATTCAGCTATAAAATAAATAAGTTGTGGGATGTAATGTACAGAATGGTGTCTCTGGTTAATAATACTGTATTGCATATTTGAAAGTTACTAAGAGAGTAGACCTTAAAAGTTCTCATCACAGAACAAAAATTCTTGTAGAGTAATTTAACCAGACTTATTGTGATAATCATCTTGCAAATTATACAAATATCATACACTTGAAATTAATGTAATGCTATATGTAAATTATACCTCAATTAAATGAATGAAGAAAGAGACAGACAGACAAAAAGAAAGAGAACATTTTTAAGTCATCAGTAACATTTCCACTATTGTATTTAATTATTTTGTTTTTTTGGTTAGAGGATGTGTTCCAATAAGCCTACATGTGGGCATAGAAACTTCTGTTTTTGTTCATGAAGGAGCATCATGGACTAGAATTACGTCACCTTAAACGAATTAAAATCTTGGGGGAAAAATGTGAAACAGCAATATTCAGACATTGGAAAACAAGCAGAATAAAAACAAAGGAACAGAGTCTTTTGATAACCCCATCTTACTTCATGAAGTTTCCAGGCCACAACATAAGGAAGGTAGACCCAGAGTCTATTGCTCTGCTGGAGTTCAAAGACAACATTTAGAGTTTTGGAAGCCCAAAGAAGCTAGAATTCACAGGGCACATATTAGAGAGAAGACAGCTGCACAAATTGAGAGAGAGAGAGAGACAGAGACAGAGACAGAGACCTATAGATGTATAGAGAGTTTCTCTTGATGTAGAAACTTTCACTGCCTGCTCCAAAGCTCTACACTTAGAGCTTTTCTACCCAAATAGTCAGTCAGGACTTTTGGATCAAAGGTCTCTGAACAGAACTTGAGAGCACTGTAGAATCAAGCTGTAGAATTAATCATTGTTAAATTAAAGCTCTTGGTTTAAATATGGCAACATTAGGGTTTAAACCTGACTTGGAAAGAGAACAGGATTCTCATCAACCTTTTCTAAGCAAATTTTATTTTCTAACTTATAATATAAATTGTATTCTATAGCATATGTTACATGATGGTTTCAAAATTCTTTTCAGTACCTTGACATAAGCAAGGTAGTTTCTCCTTTCTGTTGACAAGTAGCTAGAAGTTTAACAGAGTAGTTCTAGCAGCTCTTTCTATTCATGAACTGACAGGTACTCAGCTGTTGTCAAAGAAATACTGCATATGAGATGATCTATAATTCATAGAAACAAAATCTACAAATGAGCTTTTAGTTTAACACTGTTCCATCTCAAATGCCTGGCATCCCTGAAACATTTCAGCAGCATACTCTAATCACAACTAAAATTCCTCCATCCTCAAATATGAGTCTATTTTTTTGTAGCATGTAGCCTTAATTAGGAATTTTAATACTTGCTTGATAGCCAGCTCAACTGTATGGCTCAAAACTCCAGGGAATCTATGTTATTACCTTAATAATAACTTTAAATTATAGAAAACTATAGATATTAATACACTCAACAGAAGTTATTAACACAATAATGTTTAAATGAGTGGAAACTTACGTGGATCAGTTGCAGAAACATCTATAAGTTCTTCACTTGGGTGGGTTTTTATGAATTCTGAAATAATAGTAAATTTGTCATATGTTTCAAATATCAATTATATATATAGTGAGTTTAAAGAAAACTCTAAGAAAAACAATAGAGCTCCCAACACTGGAGAGCCTTCCAATCAGGCACCAAATGGTGATACCTGAATGAAGGTATATAACAACTGAGTGATATAAACTCATCATTTTCCCAACAACACTTGTTTTTCCTCTTATATTATCTTAATGAATGTTGCCATGACTTAATCTCCCTTTCTTTCATATCTAATCACCAAGTTTTGCTACTTTTACCAGGAAATATTCTCAAATCTTCCCCCATTCTTGTTTATTTATGCTCTAATATAAGAACTTATCACACATCTAAAACACAGTAATAACTTCCCTTTCCTATTCCTAGTCCCCAAATAACCTTCTACGATGTGGCCAGAAAAATATGTCTACAATCAAATCCACCAATGTCACTTCCTTACAAAAAGTCTTCAGTGATTCCCTATTATATACAGAAGAAAAAAAAAAGGTTCCCTAGCAGAGCATCCAATCCCTCTGACGAAGCTCTCTTACCTTACCCCTACTTATAGCTTCACATTCTAATACCATTCCACTTGCAATTCCCTATTCATGCTCTTTGCTCATACTAGATCCTCTTCATAAAACACCAGATATCTCCCTTCTTCACTTGGCTAGATCCTATTCTGTAAAGGATTCTATATCCTTTACAGTTGCATAAAATCTTCCCAACTCCCTCAGGTTGAACAAATTAGCTTTCTGTGGATTCACTGAAAATTACACATAACCTTTATCATGCATTATCATGTATTATACTATATTAAAATGATACATAAAGTGCTTGTGTCCTTACTATGTTGTGTATTTTATGGTGGTAACAACCGAGGTTTATTTGTTTTGTACAACTCCCAGAATCTGAAGCATAAGAATTTTTATTGAAAATATCAAACTCACTATTGAATATCTTTTAAATTTACTATCGTATAATTTTATGGATATAAATTTTAAACTGTAAGTCTCAAATGTTAATGCAATATAGAAAACTTATAACTGCTAAACATGTATAAAATATTATCACCTTCAATTATCTGTTGTGCAGTTTCATAACTTTGTAATATTCCTGGTAATTTTTCACTATCCCTGTTTAAATTTCAATAAATACAACATATATTTATTATCAAAGATTAAGAATTTAAATTATATTTAATAAATAGGATATATGCTCTAGATATGCAGTTTGTAAAATAAAATTTAACATATTCTTTAACTTTTATTCACAGACACTAAGGTAAATTAATAAGTAGCAAGCAAATGAATATAAAAGTCACATTATGTAATTCTACAAATTCTATATATTCCATGAATATAATTGGCATATCAACAACAAATTTAACAACAAAAATACCAAAAGTAAAGTTGAGTAAAAATAGGAGGTTGTTTTTAATTGCGAAATTGTTAAGAGCACAAGTTCTAGAGACAAACTGCTTGGCTCAAAAATTGTCTTACCCACTTGCTAATTATAGGACCTTGGGTAAGTTACTTAATGCCTCTAATCTTCAGTTTCTTCATCTACTAAAATTGGAGTATTAGAGTACATGTTTCAGAAAGTAGTGCTCTTCAGATCACAGTTTCCATGCTCTATGTCCACAGGCTATTTGCCCTGTCTTCTTGCCAAGAGCAATCCCAGTGCCCTCTGATTTCACTCATATGTACAGTTTAAGAAACAAAACAGGGGCCCCTGGGTGACTCAGTCAGTGAAGTGTCTGACTTTTGATTTCAACTCAGTTCATGATCTCCCAGTTCATGAAATTGAGCCCCACATCAGGCTCCACACTGAGAGTGTGGCGCCTGCTTAGGATTCTCTCTCCCTCTCTCTCTGCCCCTCACCCACTTACACTCTCTCTCAAAATAAACTTTAAAAAAAAGAAACAAAATAAAATGGAAAAAGAAAAAAAAGTGAGAAAGACGAATTAAAAAGACTTAATTATAGAGAACAAACTGTTATGAGAGGGGAAGTGGGAGGAGGGATAGGTAAAATAGATGATGGGAATTAAGAAGTACATCTGTTATGATAAGCACCATTATGGAACTACTGAATCACTATTGTATGCCTGAAACTAATATAATGCTGTATATTAACTATACTGGAATTAAAATAAAAAAATAAAATAACAAAATAACAAAAGTTGAATATGTCAGAGGTCTAATGTACAGCATGCTATTTACAGTTAACAATATTGATGTACACTTCATATTTGCTAAGGAAGTATATCTGAAGTGTTTTCACCACACCCAAAAGAAGTAACTATGTGAGGTAGAAAAAAAGTCATAAAAGGTATTCTGTGATGATAATTTAGTCATCTATTTAATTCAAGACAGATAAGCCTCAAGTATCAAAAGTCAGTGTCAACAGATAATAGGAGTATCATTGTAATCATTCATTTGAATCTTTCTCTCATCTGTCAAAAAAGAGCTTTCCACAACTAGAAAGAAGGGAATTATTCTTTGGAACATATCCCTGTCCCTATGAAATTGTTAATGATGCTTTTCATAAACAATTTTATCTTAGTTTCCTATTTACTATAGAAACTACATAATCAAATAGAGAATATTTTAAAAGCCAGACATTTAAGCCACCCATGACAAACAGAACTTTCTAGCAACAGCCATATGTGGCTACTAAGCATTTGAAATGTGGGTAGTGTGACTACAGAATTGGTTTTTTAATTAAATTGAACTGAATTTTAATTTTAGTAGCCACATGTGACTAGTGACTACTGACTGGTCAGTGCCACTTCAAACTGTTAAAAATTTCAACTAGGAGCAAGCTGACTAGACTATTTGATATGATTTAAAAACTACATACAGCATAATATCTGAACCATTATCTTACATATGTTACTACTTTATACCCACTCTTATCGTTTTGAATTCTATTGACTCTTATATTTGACTTACTTTGGTTTAGACAAGGTTTTCAAAGAGGATGCAGACTTTTGTTTAAGACGATTTTTCAGTTGTTCTAGTTTTTGCACCTGCTTTACTACATTTGCAATGCTTAAACTGACTGTTTTGTCTGCTGCTGGATATTCTGCTTCTAAAAATGTTTGATCTTTACTTATCTAAAACAAAAAAATTAGCCAGTTACTTAGGAAATACCCATTTTGCTCCTATATCTCAAAGAAATTGCATATTTTATCATAGTTAAATAATTTTTATATTTTTATCTATACCTATAATCAAATACTAATATTTTATAAATATAATGGAGTAATTATCTAGCAACAGAATTATGGCTAATTCTATGATCCCGAAGAGAGGACATAATTTGATATATAAGATACATTGTCAAATCATAAATGAAATCTAAAGCCAATCGTAAATGGAGTTTAAAAAGTGATGTAGCAATCAACCACAGTTATCAATTTATTCCTTCTCATCTAAAAATCCATTCTTTCTATGAAAAATTATATTCCAACAAATTGGACAACCTGGAAGATGGAAAAATTGCTAGACACTCACACATTGCCAAAACTCAAACAGGAAGAAATAGAAATTTTGAACAGACCCATAACCAGAGAAGAAATTTAAACAGCTATCAAAAATCTCCTAACAAGTAAGTTCTGAGCCAGATGGCTTCCCAGGGAAATTCTACCAGACATTTAAAGCAGAGTTAATACCTATCCTTCTCAAGCTGTTCCAAAACATAGAAATGGAAGGAAAACTTCCAGACTCATTCTATGAAGCCAGCCTTAACTTGATTCCCAAACCAGACAGAGACCCTCTAAAAGGAGAATTATAGACCAATATCCTTGATGAACATGGATGCAAAAATTTTCATCACGATACTAGCAAATTGAATTCAACAGTATATTAAAAGAATTATTCACCACAATCAAATGCAATTCATTCCTGTGCTGCAGGGATGATTCAATATTTGCAAATCAATCAATGTGATACATCACATTAATAGAAGAAAGGATAAAAATCATATGATCCTGTCAATAGAGGCAGAAAAAGCTATCGAGAAGATACAGCATGCTTTGTTTATAAATTTTTAAATGTTTATTTATTTTTGAGAGACAGAGCACACGTGGGGGAGCGTCAGAGACAGAGAGGAGACCCAGAATCTGAAACAGGCTCCTGACTTTGAGTTGTAAGCACAGAGTCTGTCGCAGGGCTCGAACTGGGGAATGGTGAGATCATGACCTGAGCCAAAGTTGGATGCTTAACCGACTGAGCCACCCATGTGCCTCTGGCATCCTTTCTTTATAAAGACCCTCAAGAAAGTTGGGACAGAAGCAACATAACTTAACATCAAAAAGCCATATGTGAAAAGCCCACAGCTAATATCATCCTCAATGGGGAAAAACTGAGAGCTTTCCCTCTGAGATCAGAAACACGATAGGGATGTCCAATCTCACCACTGTTGTTTAACATTCTGTTGAAAGTCCTACCATCAGCAATCAGACAACAAAATGAAATAAAAGGCATCCAAATTGACAAAGAAGAAGTCAATCTTTCCCTTTTTGCAGATGACACGATACTCTACATGGAAAACCCAAAAGACTCCACCAAAAAGCTGTTAGGACTGACACACGAATTCAGCAAAGCTGCAGGATATAAAGCCAACATATAGAAAGTCTGTTGCGTTTCTATACGCCAATAATGAAGCAGCAGAAAAGAGCTATCAAGACATAGATCTTGTCTTGATCTATTTACAACTGCACCATTTACAACTGCACCAAAACCCATAAAATATCTAGCAGTAAACCTAACCAAAAAGATAAAAGATCTGTACACTGAAAACTATAGAAAGCTTATGAAAGAAATTAAAGACACAAAGAAATGGAAAAACATTCCACGCTCACAGAAAGGTCAAATACTGTTAAAATGTTGATACTACCCAAAGCAAAAGACACATTCAATGTCATCCCCATCAAAATAACACCACCAGTCTTCACAGAGCTAGAACAAACAATCCTAAAATTTGTATAGAACCAGAAAAGACTCCAAATAGCCAAAGTAACCTTGAAAAAGAAAACCAAAGCTAGAGACATCATAATCCCAGACTTTAATCTGTATTACAAAGCTCTAATCATCAAGACAGTATGGTACTGGCACAAAAACAGACATACACACCAATGCGACAGAATAAGGAACCCAGAAATGGACCCACAAATATATGGCCAATTAATCTTCAACAAAACAAGAAAGACTATCCAATGGAAAAAGACAGTCTCTTTAGCAAATGGTGATAGAAAAACTGGAGAGCAACATGCAGAAGAATGAAACTGGATCACTTTTTTATGCCATACACAAAAATAAATTCAAAATGGATGAAAGACCTAAACGTGAGATAGGAAACCATCAAAATCTTAGAGAAGAAAACAGGCAACAACCTCTCTGACCTCAGCCAAAGCAACTTCTTACTCAACACGTCTCTGAAGGCAAGGGAAATAAAAGCAAAAATGAACTATTGAGACCTCATCAATAAAAAGCTTCTGCATACCAAAGGAAACAATCAACAAAACTAAAAGGCAACTAACAGAATGGGAGAAGATATTTGCAAATGACACATCAGATAAAGGGTTGGTATCCAAAATCTATAAAGAACTTGCCAAACTCAACATCCAAAAACAAGTAATCCAGTGAAGAAATAGGCAGAAGACATGATTAGACACATTTCCAAAGACTTCCAGATGGCTAATAGACACATGAAAAGATCCTCAACATCACTAATCATCAGTGAAATACAAATCAAGACCACACCATTTAGAGTGGCTAAAATTATCAACTCAGAAAACAACTGATGTTGGCAAGAATGTGGAGAAACAGCAACTATCTTGCAATGCTGGGGGGAATTCAAACTTGCGCAGCTATTCTAAAAAAACAGTGTGGAGGTTACTCAAAAAATTAAAAATAGAACTACCCTGTGACCCAGCAATTGCACTACTAGGAATTTATACAAAGGGTACAGGAGTGCTGATTCATAGGGGCACATGTACCCCAACCTTTATCACAGTGCTATCAACAACAGCCAAATTATGGAAAGAGCCCAAATGCCCATCAATTGATGAATGGATAAAGAAGATGTGGTATACATATACAATGGACTACTACTCAGTGATGAAAAAGAATGAAATTTTGCCACTTGCAACAACATGGATGGAACTGGAAGGTATTATGCTAAGTGAAATAAGTCAGTCAGAGAAATGACAGATATCATGTTGTCATTCATATGTGGAATCTGAGAAACTTAGCAGAAGACCATGGGGCCAGGGAAGGAAAAAAAAAAGTTACAGAGAGGGAGGCAAACCATAAGAGACTCTTAATAGAACAAACAGGGTTGACGGGGGTGGGGATTGGGGGGATTGGGTGGTAGGAAAAATGGGTGATGGGCACTGAGGAGGGCCCTTGTGGGGATGAGTACTGGGTGTTGTATGTAAGTGATGAATCATGGGAATCTACTCCTGAAGCCAGGAGTACACTGTATACAGTGTATGTTAGCTAACTTGACAATAAATTATATATAAAAAAAAAAAGAATGACCAAATCAGATAAGAACACATTATATAAATAAATTTGAATAAGTAAATAAAAAATAAAGAATTTATAAAATTTAAATAAATAAATAAACAAAAAAACATTAAAAAAGAGGATTCTTACATATCTTCACAAGCTTGAGTGTCCATTTTGCTGTCTCCACTGAAAGGCTGGTAAAACAATGGCTTCATAATAATATAGTAAAATATAATAAAAAATAAAATAAAATAAAAATATATTCTTGGGGTACCTGGGTGTTTCAGTCAGTTAAATAACTGGCTCTTGATTTCAGCTCAGGTCCTGATCTTGCAGTTTGTGGGTTTGAGCCCGACATTGGGCTCTGTGCTTATGGTGTGGAGCCTGCTTGGGATTCTCTATCTCCCTCTCTGTCTGCCCATCCCCTGCTCACTCATTTTCTCTCTCTCTCTCTCTCTCTCTCTCTCTCCCTCTCAAAATAAACAAACCTTTAAAAATTAAAAATCTATTATTTATTGCCATGCTTACAATAGTGGAACATTTCTCTCTGACAGATACCATGTCAACCTTTATCAGTGGAGGGTTCTAGACACTACAGAAAGAAGCAGCTTTCTTCCTAGCTCTGTCATCTCTTGCTGCTTAATCCTAGGGCACTGCATAGTATACCTAATACAGCTCACGTCCAGAAAGTTTCAATAGCACCACCCCATAGGTGTCTTCCTCACAAGGTCCCTGGAATGTCTCATTCCCTCAGGCAGCTTCTCCCAGAACTTCTTACAAAATCTATCAATGCAGAACCTTCCTTCAGGAAGCTTTCCGGCATACCATCCCTATAGACAGCAAGAGGTACAGCACCTCCCCAGAAGATAGTTTTTCCCAGACCAGAGAGGATGGCTTCCAGATGTATCATCCTTATGGCCAGCTTCCCAGTAAGTCCCATTTCTACCAGCATGACACTCCAGAAAACTCAGTGATGACAGCTGATACTTCTTCACAAGGTCTGAACCTTAGCCCTGGGTTAGGGAGAGGGTAAGGATGGGAGTATTAAAACTTGTTCCTTCTTTAAGTGCTTTGCTTCCATCCTATCAATAGAAGCTGTTCCTTATATCTTTTATCCATATATTCTTTAGAGTTGACTCTAACTCTTTGGTAGGGATTCTCCTATATTAATAATTCTTTATGTTGAACTTTTCCTGTTCAGATTACAGTGTCATTTTTATCTTTTGATTAGACCCTAACTGATACATTGCATTTTCTATTAGGAATTCAGATTAAACATGAGTCCTTTCTGAGAGAAGAGATGATGTCACAGAACTAAAGGAATATGGAATAAACAATGAGATTATCAGTTACAAGATTTCATCAAAGAGACCTACTTGGCACAGCTTCCAGCAGAACAACTCTGAAGCACATAGCCTATGTGCTTATCCTACATTTCTCTAGTGCAGATTACCACACATTCTGTATCACAACGTGTATCTTCAACATCAAAATGACCACAGACATTAACCTCACCAGCATGCACTAACAATAAAATGTGTCGGCAATAAAACCAAGATTGTTCCAAGATTTTCAAATGTTAGTTTACATAACCCTCTAAGAAATCCTATTAAAAAGCATATTTCTAACCTATACACATACAAAAAGAACTTTAATTCAGTAAGTCTGACTTGAAGTTCTGAAATGGACATTTGTAACAGGTATCTTGGGTGATATTTAAACATGATCTGTCAAACATATTTAAGAAACCATTCATCAAAAGGCATAAGATAATACAAACACTTTGGCAATGTATCTGATACACACCAAATTAAGCAATCATTCAAAATAATTAATTATGGATTTTAAAACTGAAAAATTCAGAATTCTAGATCAGAAGTCTAGTTCTATACTAAAGATTCCTCCTTGTGAACATGAATGCATAAACCAGGATTTCAGAAATACTGGAAATGATGGTAACTGGCACTAAAGTGTAAATAGTATAGACAGAGAAAGAGAGACATATATGACAGCTATTTAGGACATAAAATCAAAAGGACTCAGGAATGTATTGAAGATTAGGAAATCAAGTTGTCAAGGTTAATCACCACACTTCCGGTTTATCCAACTGGATAGATACTACTATTCGCTGAGACAAGGGACACTGGAAGAAGTATAAGTTTAAGGGTAAAAAAGTTATTGGTTTTGACCCATTGGGTCTGAGGTAAAATAGTCTAGTAGGTAATTATATACCCATCTGGAGTTCAGAGGATGGTTTTGAGGAAGAGGTGTATATTTCTAAATTACCAGTATAAAGGTAATACTTAAATTGAAAACCTGGTTGTGGTTGCCTAGGGAGTAAGTTTAGAGTAAAGAAAAAAAGACATAGAATGAAATCTCAAGGCACTCAAGTGTTTATTGGTTATAAAATAAAGGTGGCTCTAAAAAGTAAACAGCTAAAGAGGTAAAACAGTATCCAGGAAAGCATAATTCACAAAAGTCAAAGAAATAGTGTTTTGAAGATAATGAAATGATCGACAATGTCAACTATAGCTTAGGTAAAGAAAATTCCTATTGAATTTAACAATATAAAAAATTGCATAGAATCATACAAAATGTTTTCTTTGTTATAGAGAGAATATCTAGTTAGGGTAGGCTAAGAAATGCCTTGGAAATAAGAAAAGAGTATATATAATAAATTGATGCCAAAAATAAATAAGAGCTCTGAAGCTGTAAAGTATGCCCCTCAGCTAAACTGTTGTTTTTATAGAAAATCCATAAACAACTCCAATTGTTTTTGATAGTCCTAGTTGGCTCTTTCAAGGAGAGAATTCCCAGATTAACCCCTTCACTAGGTGCCAATTTATTAGTTAATAATTTTTTAATAAAAGACTCAATTAGTTTTATTGTTCCTCAAATATCTTCAAGGCTTTTTCTCTCCTCTCTTGATCTTTGATTTTGCCTTTAGTCCCCAACAATAGTCTAATTTTTTAATGTTTATTCATTTTTGATACAGAGACAGAGACAGAGAGAGAGAAAGAGTGTGAGCAGGGAAGGGGCAAAGAGAAAGAGAGAGAGGGAGACACAGAACCTGAAGCAGGCTCCAGGCCCTGAGCTGTCAGCACAGAGCCTGATGTGGGGCTTGAACCCAAAATCCGTGAGATCGTGACCTGAGCCAAAGTCAGATGCTTACCTGACTGAGCCATCCAACAGTAGTCTAATAACTATTTCCCTTATGAGTAAATTTGCATACAAAATTGTTTTTAAAAATTGCTTATGAAGGGCAAAAGAGAAAAGGGCCAGTAATTGGAGGGAATATAGCATCAAATTGGGGAGACATGAGTATATTTAAAACCTGAAAGGAAGAACACAATTGGTTAGGAAAAGTTTAATATACAATAGAGAATGATTAATCAAATTTCGTAAGATCCAAAACAAGTAAAAGAATGAGTCTTATGTAGGAAGAGGAACAAGATCCGTTTAATAAGAGGAAAGAAAGGAGGAGGAATGGCCATGGATGCAAATAAATTGCTTGGTAGCAGGAATGAAGAAATTCTAACTGGTGGCTTGAATAACAAACATTTCAAGTGACTAGCTGAAAGTGTAACTGAAAATGGGACTGAGGGAGTGTAGGTCTGAAATGACGGATGGCTGAAAAGAGTTGAAATTCAATATGCAATAGAATTCCCAGGCAATATTTGGAATAATTACATATGAATAATTGTATCACTTTCTTCATCAGTGTTTCACAACTAAGCTAAAGGCCCAGAGTAAATATTTGCATTTATTCAAGTTTAAATTTTGTTACACAAGTGCAATGAAAAGAGAAAGAGGTAAACAACATTAGAAAGTTAAGAAATTCACTGTGATTAAGTACCTACTGTCCAAACTAAAAAGAAAAATAAGTATAAAAGACTGCAGAAAGGTAAAGAAATGAATGAACCAGTGGTCATGATGAAGTCAAAGAATGGCCAGAATAGTATTTAAAGTAATAATTAAGAAGTCAGAAATTTTTAGTTCAAGAATGAGTTGCCTGGGTGTGCTTGAGTGGCTCAGTTGGTTAAGCATCCAACTTTAGTTCAAGTCATGATCTCATGGTTCGTGGATTCAAGCCCCACATCTGGCTCTGCACTGACAGTGTGGAGCCTGTTTGGGATTCTCTGTCTTCCTCTCTTTCTCTCTCTGCCTTTCCCTGACTTGTATTCCCGCTCTCTCTCTTTCAAAATAAATAAATAAACTTAAAAAAAAACAGCATAAAGTTTTTCCCAAAATAGAATTAAAAGTACTTAAGGTTACAGACCAATAGTTTTGAAAATGGTCACAAAACATCTGAAAATCTAAAGTACAAAAAAAAAAAACCCATGAAAATAACATTAAGTTTAAGTGAAACCAATATAAAATTATATAAGTAAGCATATTATCATACCATACATGTTTTTTAAATATAGGAGAAAAGTTTAATCTGATACAAATTTTCTCTTGTCAATTACTCTTTTACACTTATTTTGAAGAGAAAAGATGTATCAAACTCAGAGAATCTCAGATACATGCAGGAATGTAGTGTATAATCACCCAGAAACATTTTATTCTAATAATTTGTTCCTTCTCTACCTAAATCAAAAGATTGTAGTTATTCCAAAAATTGTAAGTAATTTCAAATTGATTTTCAAATTAGGCAAAATATTAATTTAATTCACAATTAAGAAATGTTATACTTACCTCTTCCATCTGATTGACCTGTAGTTGAAACCACTGTAAAAAAACAAAAAGAAATACTTATTGACAAGTTACTCAAACATATGGGTGTGTGTGTGTGTGTGTGTGTGTGTGTGTGTGTGTTATCTTCATCTATCAAATATTAGCCATGAACCAAACATCATTTGTCCTAGGGTTCAGAATGGACTAATGCAACATATAACTGGAATATAACATTTTAAAATACATATAGTTGGCAAGTTTAGGAGTTCTTTTTACTTTGTCAAAACTTAGAAACCTATTCTTCATTAGTATATATTTCTGTATTATAATTTTAGTAGGCTTAAACTGGAATATATTGAACATACCTTAAAAAGAGATTCCAAAATCTAGAAAATAAAAATGTAATTAGAACATTTATATATAAAATTAATCACCATGTTATAATATGATAAAATTTTTAATTATCTAAAACTAAACCTATAATCCAAAATAATAACATTTTTACAATTCCAGATACAGCTTTTAGTACATCATGCATAGACAACTCAGTTCTAGAAAACTTTCCACCATTATATATATATATATACACACACACACACATATATATGGATATACATGTATACATATGGATAGCCCAGAATAATGTACATAATTTCATATATTACTTAATATAAACAAGGAATAAAATTAAGATTCCTCTTGGAAGAGACTTTTTTTCATATAGAGTGTAATAATGAAAAGCGTTATCAAAGGGAGGCATCATCATCCCAGACTGCAGCCTCTACTACAAAGCTGTCATCATCAAGACAGTATGGTATTGGCACAAAAACAGACACATAGACCAATGGAATAGAATTGAGAACTCAGAATTGGACCCAAAAGTATACAGCCAACTAATCTTTGACAAAGCAGGAAAGAGTATCCAATGGAAAAAAGACAGCCTCTTTAACAGATGGTGCTGGGACAACTGGACAACAACATGCAGAAGAATGAAACTAGATCATTTTCTCACACCATACACAAAAATAAACTCAAAATGGATAAAGGACCTGAACATGAGACAGGAAACCATCAAAACCCTAGAAGAGAAAGCAGGAAACAACCTCCTTGACTTCAACTGCAGCAATTTCTTACTTGACACATCCCCAAAGGCAAAGGAGTCAAGAGCAAAAATGAACTATTGGGACCTTAGACCTTAGACCCTGACACATCCCCCAAAGCAAAAGAATCAAGAGCAAAAACAAACTATTGGGACCTCATCAAGATTAAAAGCTTCTGCACAGCAAAGGAAACAATCCATAATATAACTAATAGGCACCCAACGGAATGGGAAAAGATAGTTGCAAATGACATATCAGACAAATGACATATCAGATAAAGGGTTAATATCCAAAATCTATAAGGAACTCACCAAACTCCACACCCGAAAAACAAACAATCCAGTGATGAAATGGCAGAAGATATGAACAGACACTTCTCCAAATTGGACATCCAGATGGCCAACAGACACATGAAACGATGCTCAGCATCCCTCCTCCTCAGGGAAATACACATCAAAACCACACTGAGATACCACCTCACGCCAGTCAGAGTGGGTAAAATGAGCAAATCAGAGAACTCTAGATGCTGGCGAGGATGTGGAGAAACGGGCACCCACCTACACTGTTGGTGGGAATGTAAACAGGTACAGCCCCTCTGGAAAACAGTATGGAGGTTCCTCAGGAAACTAACAATAGAACTCCCCTATGACCCAGCAATAGCACTGCTAGGAATTTACCCAAGGGACATAGAAATGCTGGGGCATAGGAGCACATGTACCCCAATGTTCATAGCAGCACTCTCAACAATAGCCAAAACATGGAAAGAGCCTAAGTATCCATCAACGGATAAATGAATCAAGAAGATGTGGTTTATCTATACGATGTAATACTACATGCAATGAGAAAGAATTAAGTCTGGCCATGTGTAGCAACATGGATGGACCTTGAGGGTGTTATGCTGAGCAAAATAAGTCAGGCAGAGAAGGACAGATATCATATGTTTGCACATAGAGGAGGATTAGGAGGAACTCAACGGAAGACCGTGGGGGAGAAGAAGGGGGAAATAGTGGGGGAGAGGGAGGGAGGCAAACCATGAGAGACTCTTGAATGCTGAGAACAAACTGAGGACTGATGGGGGTGGGGGGGAGGGGGGGATGGGCATAAAGGAGGGCACTTGTGGGGATGAGCACTGAGTGTTATGTGGAAACTAACTTGACAATAAACTATTTGTAAAAAAAAAAAAAGAAAAGAAAAGAAAAAAGAAAGAATGTGCCTTACTGGCATAAAAATAAATACATGTATACATATACCTAAAACTGATACAGTTTTATTACATCACAGTTCAATCTCCATTTTTAAACTAAAATTAAAAAATAACCTGAAACAAATGTAACATTGTATGTCAACTACACTTCAATAAAAAATAAAATTAAAAAGTTTAAATATAGTTAAAAAGACCAAAAGAACAAAACTGAGAGCCCAGAAATAAACATTTGCATATATGGCAAAATAATTTTTGACAAGAGTACCAAGACAACACAATAAAGAACAATCTCTTCAACAAATACTGCTGGGAAAACTGGGTATCCACATGTAAAAAATTAAAACTTGACCCTACACACCACTTACACCATGTAAAAATTAACTCAGGATGAATCCATGACCTACATGTAAGATCTAAATCTATTAGATTCCAAGAAGAAAACAGAATAAAAACTTCAGGACATTGGATTTGGCAATGATTTCTTGGATATGACATCAAAAGTATAGGCTTAACAAAAGCAAAAATAAACAAGTAGGACTATATCAAACTAAAAAGTTACTGCACAGTCAAGGAAACAGCAACATGAAAAGGGCAATCTATGGAAGGGAATAAAATATTTGCAAAACATATATCTGATAAGGAATTAACACCCAAAATATATAAGGAACTGATATAACTCAAAGGTGGGGGTAGGGAGGGGAAACGACCCAATTTAAAAATTGGCAAAAGACCTGAATAGACATTTTTTTTTCCACAAAGACATACAAATTGGCAAGAGATACATGAAAAGGTACTTGACATCACCATCAGGGAAATGCAAATCAAAATCACAATGAAATATTACCTCATACGTGTTAGAATGGCTATTATTAAAAAAAAATAAAAGGGTGCCTGGGTGCCTGAGTTGGTTAAGTGTTCAACTTCAGCTCAGGTCATGATCTCATGACCTGTGGGTTCGAGTCCCGCATCAGGCTCTGAGCTGTCAGCACAGGGCCTGGACCCAGCTTCAGTTCTGTGTCTCCCTCTCTGCCCCTTCCCCACTCACACTCTGTCTCCTTCTTCCTCAAAATACATAAACATTTTTTTTTTAATGAAAATAAATAAATAAAAAATTTTTGACAAAAGATTTGAAGAGAGCTCTTTCTGCCCAGGGTCCTGTCCCCATGCTTTAATAAAATCACCTTTTTGCATCAAAAAAAATTATTTGGAGAAAAAGGAATCCTGTATGCCATTAGTGGAACAGGAAATTGGTACAGCAACTATGGAAAACAGTATGAAGACTCCTCAAAAATTTACTACCATATGATCTAGCAATCCCACTTCCAGATATATATCCAAAACAAACTATCTCAAAGAAATACCTGCACGCCCATGTTCACTGTAGCGTTATTCACAATAGCCAAGATATGGAAACCTAAGTGCACCAAATCCATAGTAACAGAGAACAGAATGGTGATTACCAGGGGCTGGGGAGTTACTGTGTTGTTGTTTTTTTTTAATTTTTAAATTTTATTGAGCTATCAGGTGCCCCATGAGCTATTGTTTAATGCCTACAGTTTCAATGTTGCAAGATGAAATGAATTCTGAGATGGATGGAAGTGATGGTTGCACAATATTAATGTGTTTAATACACTGAACTGTACACTTTAAAAATGGTTACAATAGTTAAGCTTTATGGGATATGTATATTGTCACAATAAAAATTGGAAAAAATATGTATCAACATACATATAAACAGTATGTGTGTGTATATACATACACTAACAGCACACTAGAAAACATGTTCTAAAATGTTAATGGTGCAAATATACAAGGTTGGGATTACAGATAGTTTGTTTTCCTTTATACTTTTCTCAATTTTTCAAATGTTCCACAGTGATATGTTTACATTCAGGGGGCACTTGGGTGGCTCATTTGGTTGAGAATCCAACTCTTGATTTTGGCTCAGGTCATGACCTCTCAGTTAGTGGGTTTGAATCCTATGTCAGGTTGTGTGCTGACATTGCAGAATTGCTTGGGATTCTCTGTCTCCCTCTCTCTCTACCCCTGCCCTGCTCTTTCAAAAATATATCAATAAACATTTAAAAAACTTTTAAATAATATGTTTACAATCAGATAAAACATAATAAATGCTATTTTCCAAAACTCAAAAAATAATAAAATGTATTACCAAATAGTATGTACAATATTATTTCATTTTTTTTAATGTTTATAACTTTGGAGAAACAGGAAGGGAAACAAAAATATGTTAACAACAGTGGTTATCTTGGGGAAATAAGATTATGTTAATTTTTGTTTTCTTCTTCATGCCTGTCTTTTTTGAAGTTTTTATTAATTATGACACATTGCTTTTGTAATATAAATTACCTTATTAAAAACACTAAAATAAAAATATTATTAATACTGTATTTTCATCTGTAAATATGAAAATACTAATAACTATCAATGCTGTACTTAAAGGAAAATTCACAGATCTAAATGCCTATGTTAAGAATGAAAAAATAATACTTTCAATGCCTTTTAAAACTTATTAAGGCATTGTATCTAGACTAATATTGCTAAATGGATTATTAAATCCAAGCTCAAACAACAAATATTGTTTTAAAATATTTTATTATAATTATTTTAATGGCACTTAATTATTTTAATAAATCAATAAAAATGTATTAACATAAAATGTATTAACAATATTAATAATGTAAATTAAAATAATAAATATTTTATACTTGATAGCTTACACAGAATACATACATTATGTTCTTCCTTAGCTGCGTCTTCTAACTGAGCTGCAAATTGTGAACAACATACCAAGAATGAATTCAGATCATCCCCAACCTTTTGAAAAGAATAACAAAAAAAAGTTATTTTACTTCAGAATCCATATGCACACCCATCTATATTTTAGTACATTATAATTATTTTTTTTTAATGTTTTATTTATTTTTAGGAGAGAGAGAGAGACAGCGTGAGCAGGGGAGGGTCAGAGAGAGAGGGAGTCACAGACTGAAACAGGCTCCAAGCTCTGAACTGGCAGTCAGCACACAGCCCGACGCGGGGCTCGAACCCACGATCCATGAGATCATGACCCAAGCAAAGTCGGACGCTCAACCGACTAAGCCACCCAGGCGCCCCACATTATAATTATTTTTAAAAATTATTTTTGTCTATAATTTATGTCCCTTCAAACATATAAGACAAGAAATCATGCTCCAAATGCTATATCAGCAAATTCTCCCAGAAAGTGGGAGAGAGTACATTCTGGGGAGTGGCTCATGAATGACATACTCAGCTGCCTCTCATCTCATTATTCTCTACATAGTTGCAGAAAATCAAGCATCCCAGATTTAGACTCCTGAAATTTATGAGCAGCCAAAAAAGGTAGCAATTCTGTATATACCTTATAAATATCTCTTTGTGTTAGAAAATGAATGCTAATTATAACTTCTGAACATAAGTACACTTGCCAAGAGCTGTAGTCTTTCACCCTCACTTAATAAGCAAATGAAGACTTTGAGGAAAAACTAGTGACAGATTAAAATGTCACAATGACTAAAAAAAAAAAGTCACAATGACTGAATCTTTTATAGTAGAGTGTTGATTTGTAAATCAGAGACAACCTATGATAAACAAATCTAGATGCTTATATAGAGTTAGGATTCTCGTAGAGTGTTCTTCATGAGGAATATGTTCATTCAACATCACATTTTAAAACATACAGGCTCATATATTTTTTTGTCATGGTAAAGACATATAACCATATAGAAGAGGGGGAGAACTGAATTATTCATTCAGGAAAGTGGGAAAATGAATGAATTAAAGACACTAATCATAAATATGAGACCATAAGCATACTTGAGGATTGTCTTCTATTCACATTTAGAAGCCACAAATATAGGGATTGATTTGATCAGGGTTGCAGTTTAACAAAATAAAATCAATAAAGCATGCCAGGGCAAGAGAGTTAAGTACATATGCATGGCAGTAATAATAATAAGGGACCATGGAATTTAAGCTAGGTAAGTAAGAACAGAAGGAGTATTTGGGACAGTAAAAGGTAAAAGGACCAATGGATTATAGTTCCCAATGGAATCAAAGGACTTTTGGGAGTCAAAATATTAGACACACTAAGCGGGAAAGATAAGACGTACTGACTAGAAATTAAGATGATAGAAACTTAAATTATGGAAAAGTTACAATTATTGGTTATGACAAAGATTAAAGGATATCATCTTGTTGGTTAGTTGCTGACATAGAATAGAAGATAAGATCACTGGAGTGAACTGAGAGGCTACACTATTTGTAAAGATCTTCTACATGCATATTAAAATCATCAAAAATTATGACAATAGTGTTGTAAGACAAATAGAATACCAGTATAATAGAGACTATTAGTTGCCTACTAACAGTACCTCAGTTTTATTGGAGATGGCAATGTGCATAGCTAGTAATAATAATAATAGATTTCCCAGCTTCCTTTACCAATAAAGTTAACCATTGTTCCAATCGGGCCAATGAGACAAAAAGAAATTGTTGGGCAGCACTTCTAAAAAGATCTTTAAAAGGGAAACAGAAATGCCACTTATGATTATGATGTGAAAAGGTATGAGAGGTCTTCACTTCAGTGTCAATATCCAAAAAGGAAAAGTATATAAAATTATGTAATTATTATGTCTTTCCTTGAAGATATTGAAAAGGAGGGGATATAAGAAAATTTTGATGAACTGAATTCCACAGAAGAACACTTTTACAGATGGGCAAAAAACCAAAGCTATATCCATACTTAAAGGGAGCATGGTGGTGAAAGAAGAACACTTGGCCTAGTGTGTGTCAAGTGTACCAAGTCAGAAAAGTCAAAAAGCAGGCCTGCCATTGACAAACAGAATTCAAAGTATGAAGAAAAACTGGCAGAGCCTTTGACAGCCATTTAGGTTGACAGATAGACTAGAAGGAGAAAACTTCTCAAGGCAAACTACTCAACCCAACCATTTTTCTTCTACCAAACCCTTTCCCATCTCAATTTTGCCTTCAAGGTGGCAGGAAAGGAGGCCTACATACCCATTAGGAATGGTCAGAATTAAAAAGACTGACAATACCAATTCCAGTAAGAATGTACAGCCACCAGTACTCTCATAGAGAGCTGGTAGGAACATAAAATGGTTCTGCCTTATTGGGAAACAGTTCGGCAATTGCTCATAAAGTTAAATACATATTTATAACTCACCAATCCTATTCCAAAGCAATTATCCAAGATGAATAAAAACATATATCCTCACAAAGACTTGTACACAAATGTTCATAGAAGCTTCACTCATAATAGCCAAAATAGCTACTGGATCCAATGACCTAAATGTTTATTAACTGGTGAATGGATTAACAAACTGTGGAATACTCTTCACACTAAAGAAACAAACTACTGATACATAGAACAACATGGATGAATCCCCAAAAACATGATGAAGTGGGGAAGGTTAGATATATAAGACTACATATTATATGTTCTTATTTGTATGACATTCTAGAGAAGGCAAAAGTATAGTGATAGATCAGTGATTGTCTGGATCCAGGGTGGGAGGAGAGAATTGACTGTACACGGGACACAAGGAAGCTTTTTGGGATAATGAAATGTTTTATAGTTTGATTGGCAATTACACAACTATAAAAAGGAGGAACTAAAAACCAGAGGAATCTCATCCTGCTTGATCCTGTGGTAACTGTATCTGAAGCTCTACCAGGAATGAAGCAAATTGTGAACCAAAAGTATTTAAAATCTGAGTTCAAACTCTTGTCTCCTAAAATACTGGCAATATCAAATAAATCAACCCCTGAGGAGAAACAGAAATACGTATGATTATAAGTTAGACCAATCAGATAAGAACTCAATTAAAATATAAATCAGTTCCTGCTCAAATCAATTCTTAGAAGAATGAGAATGATTAATTTTTCATGCTAAATGTCAGAAAGGAAACAGTAAGCATTCTCTAGAAAATAAAACATTGTACCACAATTTCCAATGTTTTTCTAAGTATAATGCTTGGGATCCAACTTTCAAAAATTACAAAATATATGAAGAACCAGGAAAACACAATCCATAATCAAAAGAAGAAACTGTAGAAATAAACACACTGATGATCCAGATATTGAAAATATAGCAGACAAAAATCTTTAAAACTCTGTTACTGATAAAAGAATTTGCAGGAAAATATTGGTAAATTAAAATAGCAAGAGAAACATAAACCCCCCTAAAAAGTAACCAAAAGATAATCCTTAATGTGAAACTTATGATATTTGAAATAAAAATTTCACTGGATAGAGCTAACAGCAGATCAGACACCACAGAAAGGACTGGTGAATTTGAAGATAGAATAACATATATTGCCCAAACTAAACCACAGAAGGAGAAAACATTGAAATAAATGAACAGAGTGTGAATAACTTCTTACACAGTAACAATCATTCTAATATATGTGTAATTAGTGTCTCAAAAAAAAGGAGCAGTCAGTAAAATAAGTAAAAAAAAATAATGAAAATTTCCAAATTTGATGAAAAACATCAACTCACAGACTGAGTTTGATGGACTCCAAACAGAATAAATACATAAAAGCCTCAGCTAGGCATATCTTATCAAACTGCTTATCAAAAAAATAGAAACACAAAAAACATAGTGAGGTAAATATTATTATACTGCTATAAAGTTCTCACATTAGAAATGAAGTGTATAGGGGCGCCTGGGTGGCTTAGTCGGGTAAGCATCCGACTTTCGCTTAGGTCATGATCTCGAGGTTCGTGGGTTCGAGCCCCACGTCAGGCTCTGTGCTGACTGCCAGCTCAGAGCCTGGAGCCTGTTTCAGTCTGTGACTCCCTCTCTCTCTGACCCTCCCCTGCTCATGCTGTCTCTCTATCTCCTAGAAATAAATAAAAATATTTAAAAAAAAAAAAAAAAAAGAAATGCAGTGTATAATATAATTCAAGATAGATTGCAATAAATTTAAGTACATGGTGAATCCCTAGAGGAAGCACAAAAAAAATAGCTACAATTAAAAAAAGAAATAAAATAAAATGCTAAAAAATTCATAATTAACCCAAAATAAAACAGGAGAGAGTAAAAGAGCAAAGATGATATGGGACAAAAAGAAAACAAATAGGAGGACAGTAGACCTAATTTACATATTAATGTTTCTTTTTAATAAATTAATTAGATAATACATTTAATTGTATCAATTAAATGTAAATGAACTAAACCCATTAAAAGACAGAGATTGTCAGACTGGATAAAAAACAAGATTCAACTATATACTATTTCAGAGAGACCCAGTAAATGCATAGTCATACCTTGAAAATAAGATATAACATGCAATGACTAATCATAAGAATGCTAATATCAGACAGAAAGACATCAGAACACAGAACTGTAACAAAAATAAAAAATAATTTTGGACTTTCAGTTCTGGTCATCACGGACTAGACCCAAGACTCTAATCATCCCTCCCACAATTAAAATACCATTGACAACACAACAAATCAACACAGGAAAATTCTGAAAGGAAGAAAAAGAAAGGCAGGTATCTCAAAACTTGAAGAATACATGAATTCTTTTGGTTTTCTTCTTACCTACATATAAAATGGATGGGACACACTGGAAAAGCCTGAAACCTGGAACTTCCAATAAGCACAGACTTAAACAAACAAAAGCCAAAGGACTGTAGCATAACCAAAAACTTTTTGACAACGCCTATCCTACTTGAGCCGAACACCAAGAATAAGCTACAGCTACTATTCCTATGTGTCAGTAGGACTGAAATGTGGCTGTAAAAATTGGCCATCCAATTCCCCCACCAGAGTAGTTTTGGTGAGACCAAGCAAGGAACTGAAGTTCCACTCTTGTCTGGAAGTCGCAGTCATAATGAGCCAAGGATATCTGCTCTTATCACAATTACTAAATATACTACTTGAAGCCAGAGCCAGCATAAGAGAAGGAAATAAAAAGCATTCAGACTGGATAGGAAGAAGTAAACTTGTCTCTATTTGAAGATGACATAATTGTCTATGTAGAAAATCCAAAAAATCTATACAAAAACTAGAATGAAAAAATACATTGAACAAGACTCTAAGATATAAGATCAACATACAAAAATCAATCATATTTCTATCTACTAGTTACAAAATATGGAAACTAAAATTAAAAACAATGCCATTAAAATTGTTCCAAAAACCATGAATTATTAATGTAGAAAATCTAACAAACCATGCAGAGGATCTCTATGATGAAAATTACAAAATGGTGATGAAAGAAATCAAACAAGACCTAAACAAATGCAAAGACATACTATGTTCATGAATTTAAAGACTCAACATAGGTGTTTTATTACATGGAGCCAAACTCAAACCCTAACAAAAGTAATTATAAAATAGAAAAATAATACTCTACAAGTAAAGTGTTTTAAAGTACAGTTGAATATTGGGGTGCCTGGGTGGCTCAGTTGGTTAAGCGTCCGACTTCAGCTCAGGTCATGATCTCACGGTTCGTGGGTTCGGGCCCCACGTCTGTGCTGACAACTAGCTCAGAGCCTGGAGCCTGCTCTGGATTCTTTGTCTCCCTCTCTCTCTGACTCTCCCCAGCTCATGCTGCCTCTCTCTCAGAAATAAATAAAACATTTTTAAAAATTTTTTTAAAAATAAATGTACAGTTGAATATTATGAAATATGTAAAATAATTCATCTCATCAGTAGGTTAAAGGAGAACCACATACTTAATCACCTTAATAGTTACATAACTTATATATACCAGATATGTGTTAAAATTCAATAACTTCTTGGGGGTTTTTTATTCAGCAAAATATAAATATAAGAATACTTTCTTAACATGATAAAGAATATACATCTCAAACCAACAAGTAATCAAATGTTTAAAAATTAAACAGAACAGGTACTAGCAATAAAAATACATTTAAAATAGAGATATGTCTTAATTAAACTTTAAGATAAGTATTAGCAGAGGATAGAAACATCAATACTCTACTTTCAAGTTCCCTAACTGGATCATTTTCATGGATGGGAATTCATTCGAATTCATAATACAAATGGGCTCCAAAAGAAAATCTTAACCCTTTTCAGTGTTAAATGTTTCTACATTAGGGCTATATACACTTACAGATAAAGTTAATTCTTCATGTTCAGGCTTCACAACTGAATTTTCTCCATCTACAATGCAAAATCCATAGGCTTCCTCCAAAGTAGAAACAACCTGTGAGTAAATCAAAGCAAATTTTTTTATAATTTTATGTAAATGATATGTAAACTTATTAAGTGTAAAAAGACATTTAATCAAGCATGTCAGGATCTTCTTAGCAATAAGACTTCTTTCTGCTAATGCCATAAACTTAAACTTTCCATCTCACACCCCATCTCATATCACCCTGAAGCAATGATGAGAAATAGTCCTCAACTCTACTCTGTGAGAAAGTCCCTATGACTCTCATTTCTGTGTTGACAGGCATGTAAAAGACGACCTATGAATAGCTTAAGCATCAATTCCACTTGTCACCAAAGTATATTCTCAAAATCTGACAAACTCAACTTTCTTCTTCGAAGAGAAGTGGACAAAATAGATATGGAAACCAGAGAGCAACAGATTTTTTTTTTTTTTAAGGAAATTCTCTAAGCTAACCCCTCAAACGTTAAGCAAACCTGTATTTTGGAAATTTGACAAACTATATTTTTTTTAAAATCTGTGCCACTCCCCTCATTGTTCTCATTTGGTATGTGGTATATTCATAATTCAGTTCTGGATCACTGTGCAAAGAGAAACTCAGAAAAATGGAGGTTTTTTTTCCCCCCAACACTAAGAACTAAAGTTTCTAAATTGCTGAGAAGACACAGCAGGAATGAACCAGAAAGGACTATCATTAGAAAGATCTGCTTGTAAGATTGGCCTTGGACTGCTGCCTTAGAACTTAGACTTCATGAGTGTTCCCATCATTCACTGATAACAGTGGCTCCTTGTCCTTAAACTGTTTGTACAAACAATGTGGTTTACGCTAAACATCTGCTTTCCTTCAGGGAGTGTGGCATTTTGGTATATGCTAAGCAAAGTACCTAGATGAGCAATTCCCAATAAAACCCTGGGCACTGGGTCTCTAATGAGCTTCTCCAAAAGACATTTCACATGTGCTACCATAATTTGTTGTTGGAGGAATTAAGCACATCCTGTGTGACTTTAAAGGAAGAGAATCTTGGACCTAGTTTCCTCCATACTTCATTCACTTCATAAGTCTTTTCCTTTTGCTGATTTTGTTTTGTATGTTTCCACTGTAATAAATCTTAGCCATCAACAGGACTGTTTTCAGTCTAGTGCACCTTCCTGGCAATCACTAAGCCTGGGGATGGTCATGGAAATCCCAAACACAGGGACCAAGAAGTGTCTTACCATCTTAAGATGTTTGGTAATTTTCCTGATCAATTCATCTTCTGCTATTAACTCCTTTGTCTTACTTGACGGAATGGGCAAAGCATACCTTACGATGGATTCTCCTGTTGGTGGAGATCCTAAGACCATTGGTTCAAGTTTATCACGTACTAATTTTGCACTATGTTTTTCCTTTGGCTTAGGTGACAAAGGTGAAGTAAATCCTTTTTTTTTGTAAGTTAATTCTGGAACATTTGCCAATTTATTACTAGACGCTGACAGATGTTTTGCTGACTTCATTTTGTTATTTCACTTCACTTCCAAATTATAGGTGAAAAAACTGTATTCCTCCCTGTAAATAAAACATTAAGATTTCAGATGAAAAATTAGGTGAAAAAAAATTTTGGTGCATCCCAAAATCAACACTGCAGAAATTACAAAATCAAGAGGAAAACATTCCTAACAACAAACCAAATAAACAAAAAACAAACCTGTGAGAAATCCTAAGAGGTGACTGAAGGCTGGTTTATATATGAGTATTTAGGATGGGAAGTGAAGAAATGGAGGAAGACAGTGGTAGAATGAGAGAATTTCTTTAGAAAACTTTAAAATTTTATTCTTACCTTTCTCTCAATTTTGAAGTAATATATGACTTTTACATCTATCATTATTTGCATAGGAATAATAGCCTAGACCCAGGGTATCAACAGAGTAATATCAAGGCAGCACCAAAGTCATCCTGTGTCCCCCCCCCCCCCCCCCCCCGCCAAACATATTCAAGTTCTAACCCCTGGCACTGGTGAATACGACCATATTTGAAAATACCACTTTTGTAGATGAAACCAAGTTAAGAAGAAGTCATACTAGATTAGAGTGGGTCCTAAATCCAATAACTGTTATCAGTATAAGAAAGCCAAATAAAGACATAGGCACATAGACATATAGAGGAAAAGGTCATGTAATGACAGACACTGGAGTAAATCAGCTACAAGCCAAGGAACGTCAAAGATTGACAGTATCCTTGCTAAAAGCAAGGGAAACTCTTCCCTCGAAGCTTTAGAAGGAGCATAGCACTGCAAACACCTTGATTTCAGACTCTTAGACTCCGGAACTGAGAGAATAAATTACTACTGTTTTAAGCAATCTAGTTTGTGATATTTTGTTATGGTAGCCCTGGGAAACAAATATACACAAAAATTTCCCTAAATTTGATGGGAGGGACATAGACTGTGGTCTGGTTCTTGATCATTTCATAATAATAGCTTATCAGACAAGAGTAGCTGACTCTCAAGGGCATATGACATAGCTCACAGGTAAAAATAACTTGACACCTGAAAAATATAAGCTTTGCAAAAGAAAAAACACAACAACATCTAAAAGAAAAGGTTCAGGGGCACATGGTTGGCTCAGTCCAAACAGCATGAGACTCTTGATCTCGGGGTTATAAGTTCAAGCCCCATGTTGGATAATAAATACATACATACATAATACATGCTGTTTAAAAACAAAGTTTAAAAAAAGAGAAACCAAAAATACAAAATATACACAAACACAATATTAGCAATATAAAACAGGTACATGGGTATTAAAGACTCAAGTAGAAATACTACAAATGAAAAATATAATAAACATCTGATCACAGAATAATACTCCTGAAGAATAAATTAGGCAAATGGAAGATCAGTTTGACATGTTCTGCCAGAAAGCAGCAGAAAAGGATAAAGAGAGAGAAATGAAGAAGAAAATAAGGGAAACATAGAAGAATTATACAAATACCAAAAACCAGATAAAAGAAGATCCAGTGAGAAAAAAAAAAATGAAATGGACAGGAGGAAATATTTGAAGAAATAACAAAGATAAATTTCTCAGATTTAAGAATAGTAGAAACCACAGATCAAAAGTGTTCACAAAATACCAAAAAGGACAAAGATAAACAAAACACAGTTAATGAAATGTAAAAATCTAAAAGACAAAAATCTGAAAGCTTTAAGAATAAAAATGGATGCAAAGATTAGCAGTATTTATCACATATTCTTGAACATGAATAAAGTAAAATATACAACATCATCAGTAAGTATTAAAAGTTAATATCATATTTGAAATAATTTAAATAATTAGCAATCTTATGAAAATTGTGAAAATATAGGCCTGCATTTGTTGACAACATATAAACATGATTAGATTTTTGGAGAAGTAGTACCTAGTATAGAGAGGGTCATCTAATAAATTTTCAAAGCCTGCTAATAGGTATTTTTTTATTTGGCAGAAACCATGGGAAAGTCAATGGCATCCTGTTAGCACATTTATGCAAAATACAAGTATCAACATCAAATAATAGACTATCTTAGGAAATAAAATAAAAAACAAATAATAAATATGATACATTATGAATAAAATCAGTTTCAATAACGTTTGTAAAAGCTAATTATCTCGAAATTATTATGGACACAGTCCCTAAGTTAAACCACAGAAAGCATATAAAAATTATTGATATAATTGTGGATTTCCAAAATGAAAATATTTCTATATGTGAACATGTATTAGGATTTTAACCAAGAGATGACAGCGCTGGAGAAGAATCATATACATGTTTAGGAGATTACTAACAAAAAAATAAAATTAAAAAAATACATATTATAGAATATATAACATATATATAACAGCAATACAATGCCTCAAATATGTATGAGAAAAAGCAAACAGAAAATACTCAAAAAATGAAAATTTTATAATCCCTTGCACAACCTGTCAAGACATTTTTTTAACTTGGTAGTGAATGATAGAGCAAAAATATCATCTGACAACACTGAAAATTCTTCATTCACAAACTGCACAACTGCTTTATTGTTGTAATGAAATACTGCACAGTTAATTGAAAACAGTTATTAAACACGATTTTTAAATCATAGTCAAACAGGGGCACCTGGGTGGCTCAGTCAGTTAAGCGTCCGACTTTGGCTCAGGTCATGATCTCACAGTTATGGGTTCGAGCCTCGCGTTGGGCTCTGTGCTGACAGCTCAGAGCCTGGAGCCTGTTTCAGATTCTGTATCTCCCTCTCTCTCTGACCCTCCCCTGCTCACACTGTCTGTCTCAGAAATAAATAAAACATAAAAAAAAATTTTTAATATAAATAAATCACAGTCAAATAAATATTGGGAAAGACTATTTGGTTTCATATCACTAAAAATTCATTTGAAGGAAGAATGCAATGCTTTTGGAAATTGTTAACAACAATTATAGACCATAAGCCAAAATCCTGTTGGAAAATATCCTGATTTATATTTTTCTAATATTAATGGTGGCATAATGTTTTAAATAAAGTTAATGTAATAAGTGATACAGAAACTGAAATTAAATTTACAAAAAAGAAAGCATCAAAAGAATTTCAAAGAAATTATATTGCCGAAGACAATCCACCAAAAGCGTCAGGTCTGAGAGAGAAGGACCAGCAAACAAGACTTAAGAATGAGTGACCAATGGGGGCACCTGGGTGGCTTAGTTGGTTAAGTGTCCGACTTTCACTTAGGTCATGATCTCATGGTTCGTGGGTTCGAGCCCCGCGTCGGGCTCTGTGCTGACTGCCAGCTCAGAGCCTGGAGCCTGTTTCAGTCTGTGACTCCCTCTCTCTCTGACCCTCCCCTGCTCACGCTGTCTCTCTCCCGGTCTCCTAGAAATAAATAAACATTTAAAAAAAAAAAAAAAAAAAGAATGAGTGACCAATGAGCCAGAAGGTAAAACCAGGAGAGGGTGTATTGAAAATAAAGTGAATAAAAAACTTATGACTGACTGATGAACTGCGTCAAATGCTGGGCAGTTAAGATGAGAATTTAGCAACAAGGAAGTAGGTCATTTGTGACCTAAAGGACAGCAACAGTTTCAAGAGTGAGGAGGTGAATGCCTGAAATATGGGCAAAAGAAAGATTTTTTTAAAAGGAAAGTTAACAATGGGCATGGAGGAGGGCACTTGTGGGGACGAGCACTGAGTGTTATATAGAAACCAACTTGACATTAAACTGTTAAAAAAACAAAAATAAATAAACATTTAAAAAAAAGTTAACATGTTTGTATGCTGTATGCCCTCTCTCCAAAATTATGTTCAAGTCCTAATCCCAGAACCCGTGAATGTGACCTTATTTGGAAATAAGATGAAATCAAGTTAAGATGAATTCAAATTGCATTAGAGTGGGCCCTAACCCGAGTGGTGTGCTTCTTGGAAGAAAGATACAGACATGGAGGCACACAACACCCGGTGAAGACAAAGGCAGAGATAAGAGCAATGAATCTAAGGGACACCTATTGTCAGCGGCCACCAGAAGCTGGGAGGAAACCCTTTTAGAGCCTCCAGGGGGGAACCAACACTGCCACACTTTTCAGACTTCAGAGTCCAGAAGTAGAGAATAAATTTTTTGCTGTTTTAAGCCACCCAGTTTGTGGAACTTGCCTAGGCCACCCTAGGAAATTAATACATAGGCTGATGGAAATGACCCAGTAGAAAGCAAAATGTATTGATTGGTATGGAAGGAAATTGCTGGGATGATATTCTTGAGTAAACGAGGGGATATGGGTTTTAATACATAAAGGCTCCCATGCACTTAAGGCAGGACCAGGGAAACTTTTGTGGTGACAGACCTGAAGGGCAGAGATGCCTGCTCTTTAAGGAAACCAAGTAAGAAAAAGATGGGCCGCGCATCAGGCGCTACCAAACAACCTAATAAACGGACCCTTGAAGTTCACATGCATGTAAAAATAAAGGTTACATGGAGTAAACGCAGACCAGACATATGTAAGGATTTTACGTATTTTCTTCATTTAACCCTACCCATCCTAGGAGTATGTTACAGTGCCACAATTTGCCCAAGTTTATCAGTCACCTTCTCCCTTTGAGGATTCATCTTAAACTCTTTAATGATACATTACCAACAAAATGTGGGGGGGAGTGGCCTAGGATGGGGAAGAAGCAGCAGCAACGATTCGTCTTAGATTTCACATCAATAGAGGCACGGCGGCCGCTTTTGCCAGAGAACCCAACGAAACCCCTCACACTCTGCTGAGGAAGGACCGCGGGCGCCTCCCCTCCCAGGGGCTAGAATACCTGCTGAGGCCGTTGGAAGCCAGGTTACTGGGCGGTTTTGCCTTGGCCAAACGGGCTCTAAGGTGAAAGAGTTGGAAATGCTGAGCCTCCCAGACTTCTTCCAAGGCGAAAGCCTGCAAACCCTTCAGACTCCAGCCTAGCTATTTTACAGACATTTGCGCGGAAAGGCCTGGCCTCGGCGCCCCGAGGCGCCAGTAACCACAGCAGGCCCGGCGTGAAGTAACAGGGTGGGCGGTTGACGGCGCGTCACCGACGCCCCCGCCGCGCGCGCCCCCCCGCCGCGCGCGCCCCCCCGCCGCGCGCGCCCCCCCGCCGCGCGCGCCCCCCCGCCGCGCGCGCCCCCGCGCCGCGCGCGCCCAGCCGCTGCACTGGACGCCGAAGCCTGAGCCGAGTCCTTTGCGGTATCGAAGGCGAGAGGATTTTCGGCGACTATGGGGCCCTACAAAGCGGTAAAGTCCAGACTTCGCTTTCTGCCTTTCTTGCTCCCAGGCCTGTGCACTTCCCTCCTGGACGCTGCACAAGTGAGATTCTTTTAGGCATTTGGCCTAAGCAACTAAAACACGGGCCTCTTTGGTGATTTGAGAACTTGGGCTTCACCAGCAAAACCTGAGCCCCGGGCCCTTAAAGTCTGCAGTTGTCTAAAGTTCTTTACCATCCGAGGTTTGGTAGAGTCCCTTACCAGACTTTAAACTCCCAGGGAATTGTGCAGCGGATTCGTGTTTTAAAAAATAAAATGGACTAGACGGGCACCTGAGTGGCTTAGTCCCTTAAGCCTCTGAGTCTTAATTTCCCCTCGGGTCATGCTCCCACAGCTCTAAAGATCTAGAGGTCTACCCTGATAGCACTGAAACGGCCTGGGATTCTCTGGCTCTCTCTCTCTCCCTGCCCATCCCCTGCTTGTACTCTATCTCAAAATAAACAAACTTAAAAAAATAACTAAAAATAAGTAAAATGGACTAGAAAGTTGCAGCAGTCTCTTGCCATCAGTTTGTATAAACTGCTTTCAAAAGATGTAATTTTCCAAGGTAGAATTTTTTTTTTTGATAGTTTGACCTCACGGAGTGAATTTTTTCTTTTAAAAAATGAAAACTATTGATTTAAAACACTCCAACACTGGGTGTTGTTGGAAACCAACTTGACAATAAACTATTTATAAAAAAATAAATAAAACTCTCTTCAAATAAAGTTTTGTTGCCCAAAGTACAATGTTTTAATATTTAAAAATAGTAACTTGATATAATTTCATTTTTTAATGATGGCCTGTTGTTTGGTTTGCTATATGAATATTCAAAGAAATAGTCCTAGGGCACCTGGGTGGCTTAGTCAGTTAAGCCTCTGACTTCTCAGGTCATGATCTTGCAGTTCATGGGTTCAAATCCCACATTGGGCTCTGTGCTGACAGCTTAGAGCTTGGAACCTGCTTCAGATTCTGTGTCTCCCTCTCTTTCTGCCCCTCCCCTGCTTGTGCTCTCTCTCTTTCTCTCAAAAATAAATAAAAACATTTTTTAAAACATAGTCCAGAATAAAAGCTGAAACAAGAAATACGAAAATGAAAGAGGGCTCTAAATTGAGGCATAAAAGGATCCTGAATTCACCTCCTCCCTCAAACACAAGAAATCTCCAACTACATATGGAACAATTCCCTCTGCAAAAAAACTTTGGAAGCTAAGTGAACAGCACCTCCACAGCATGGGAGAAAAGGGCCGCATTGAGACAGGTAGGAGAAGTAGAGTCCAAATCTTGCCAGAAACATCTCTGAAGCCCAGCAGACCCACAATTAGAAGACATCTCATGCTGTAGAGCTTGTCCCTGAGGAGGGAGGTTCCCCAACTCTTGGGCCCTGTACCAGGAAACAAGCCCCAGAATGTCTGGCCTTGAAAGGTAAGGCTTACTTCCAGGAGAACCACATGACTCTAATAAATGGAATATCCACTCTTAAAGGGCTTGTGCATAGATTCATTCACTAGCCTCACCCTCCAGGGCCAAAGCAACAGCTTAAAATGCACCTACATCATATGCAAAGGAGACTCATTTGCTAATCTTAAAAATATTTCAATTTATATCCAATTGATAATATGGTCATTTCAAGGATCTGGGACAATTTAAATTCTGACAAAAAGAAGTGGAATTTCCTATTGACTCAATTTCTAATTTTCAGAGTTATATAGAAGGTATGTGATATACTGATACGTTTATTCATATATTTAAACCAATATGCTTATATGTAACATGAGTGTTCTATATATCAAGATATACATGTTTAAAAGACAGAAAACAATTATGTTTTATCCTTTCCTAGATACCAGTATACAATAAATAAATGCTTGTTAAGGAAATGTTACATTTTTTCAAAAGTGCAAAAATATAAGAGATCCATGGAAAATTGTCTCCCAATAGATGGAAAAAGAGATATCCTGCTAACATTAATCCAAAGAAAGCTGTATTTTTTATATAAATTACAGAAAAAGTAGATTTTTGAGTAAAAATGATTATCAGGGATAATGTGGGTTATTTCATAATGATAAAGAAGTCATTCATTAAGAAGACATAACAATCCTAAACATTTATGAAACTAACAAGAGAGGATCAAAATACACAAAACAAAAACTGATAGGACTCCAAGAAGAATAGACAAACCTACAATTAAAGTCAGAGATTTCATCATATCTCCCTCCATAATTGATAAAATAAGTAGACAGAAAATCAGTTAGGATATAGATACTTGAATAATGCTTTCAACAATAACAACATTATCAATAAATTAGTAATTCATGTGTCAAAGAAGTAGTCAAAATGGAAATTAAAAAGCATTTTGAACTGAATGAAAATAAAAACGAAGCATATCAAAATGTGCAGGATGCAGCAAGCAGCATGTAAAGGTAAATGTATATATCACCACACACCTGTAATAGAAAAGAAGAAAGTTCTGAAATCAGTGACTTTAAATTAGAAAGGAAAGACAGAAAAAAGAAGAGTAAATGAAACACAAAGAAAAAAAAAGGAAATGGTTAAGAACAGAAATCAATCAATAAAAAATAAATAGTGGAAACCAATAAACCCAATATCTGGCTCTCTCACAAAATCAACAAAAATTATTAACATCTACCCAGAGTAATCAGAAATTTTTAAAAAATGGAAAACAAATTACCAATATCTAGTACAAGAGAGGTAGCATCATTATTAACTCTACAGACGTTAACAGGATAAGGGAGTTTATGAACAACTTTATGCCCATAAATTCAACAACTTGGACAAAATGGATAAATTCCCTGAAAGACAGAAATGACCAAAGCTTATTCAAGAAGAAATTGATATCCTGAATACTATTATATCTATTAAAGAAATTGAATTTGTAGTTTAAAAAAAAATCAAGAAAAGTTTTCCACCAAGAGAACCCTAGGCCCAGATGGCATCATTGGTGAATAATATAAAACATTAAAGACTAAACAGTGAAAATTTTATACAAATGCTATCCAGAAGATTGTAGAGGATCCAGGAACACTTCCCAACTCATTTTGTGAGGCAGCATTACCCTAACACTGACATCAAAGATATTATAAGAAAAGAAAACTACAGGTCAATATCCCACATGAACATATATACAATAATTGTTAATAAAATTTTAGCAAATAGAACGAAACAATATATAAAAATATAATAGTCATGACCAACGGGGGCTTATCCCAGGGATCCCTTGTCATTGCGAGGTTGCAATGACATGATAATCAATGTAGCGTGCCTGGATCGCTCAGTAGTTAAGCCTCTGTCTTTGGCCTAGGTCATGATCTCACAATCTCTGAGTTCAAGCCCTGTGTCAGGCTCTGTGCTAACAGCTCAGAGCCTGGAGCCTATTTCAGATTCTTTGTCTCCCTCTCTCTCTCTCTGCCTCTCCCCTACTCATTCTCTGTCTGTCCGTCTCTCTCTCAAAATAAACATTAAAAATGTTTTTTAAAAAACATGATAATCAATGTAATTCATCATGTTTAAAATATACACGTATGCACACACAAATGATTAAAGAGGAGCTGAAAAAACAATTGACAAAATCCAACATCCATTCCAGATTTTTTGTAATCTGAAAAACTTGAATTAGAACTTTTCTCAACCTTATAACACACATCAGTGGAAACCTAGAGCTAACATCCTACTTAATGGTAAAGATTGACCACTTTCCCCCTAGAATAAGGAATAGGACAAGCCTGTCTGCTCTCATTACTTCTTTTCAACAACGTACTTAATGGAAGTCCTAACCAATGCAAAAGTCAAGGAAAAAGAAATGAAGGGATTCAAACTGCAAAGGAAGAAAAGTGAAATTTTTCATAAAGAGACAAAATGATCTACGTAGAAAATCTGATGAAATATTCAAAAATTAACTAATAAGCATAACATGGTTGCAGGATACAAGATCAAAACAACAAAAATCAATTGTTTCTGTATGCTGTTGATAAATGATGAGAAAGTAAAATACAATAAACACCACTTACCATGGCATCAAATACATGAAATATTTATGAGAATACTGAAAAAAAAATTGTGAAAAACCTCTACATTGAAAACTCCAAAAACTTGCTGAGAGAAAATAAAGATCTAAATAAATGTAGATATACTGGGCTCATGAATTAGAAGATTTAATAATGTTAAGATGTCAATTCTCCCCTACTTGATCTATAAATTCCATATAATCCCAATTAAAATACCAACAGGACTTTTTGAAGAAATTGGCAACATGGTGCTAAAATTCTTCTCAAAATGCGAAGGACCTGCAATAACTGAAACAACTGTGAAAAAGAATAAAGTGGGAGGATTTCAAACAAAAAGCATAGTCCTAGAGGAGTCCCTCATGTCCATGGAAATAAAGTCTTGTTGACAATTTTTGAGCAATGCTCCCTTCCTCCAAGTGGCACCTACTACTCTTATAGTACACATGTTGACAGGGGCTCCAACATGGCCTCCCAGCTGCTGATACAACTTAGGGTTCTTACTTCTGTTCAAATAATTGAGAGTCCTTGTTTTTGGAGGGACTGTATGATGGTGGTCCTGCCAATCTGTCCTGTTTGTTGATAATAACAATTGGTGGGATTTGTCCATCCCATGAAATGCCTGAAGCAGGTATGAGAATGTCTGTGAAAAAGACAACAAATATTTTTACAAGGTTTTGGAAAAGAGGTAAAGAGGCTGGGGCCATTTGAGGCTACATCTAATAATGAGAAGCAAGATTAAGAAA